TTACCTTGACAGTGATTACGCCCTTTCGTCCAACTTTTTTCATTGCATCAGAAATTATATTACCAATTTCCTGATCTCCATTTGCTGATATTGTGGCAACCTGGAACGGCAACAAAACAGTAAGGCATTTTAATTCACTTCACAATACCAATTATTTATTTTCTTTCTATGAAGACAGAAAACCAAGAAAGTCTTACTCAATTCTAATATTCCTTAAGAGGACAGGGCAGCCAACTGCATCACATCATGCATCGTATCACATCAACAGCATCGTGGCCCGAAAGTACTTAGGGAGCAAAAGTTTAAAATCTAGCTAAGTAATTAAAAAAAGCACCCTAACTAAACAAACCTCACCTGTGCAATTTCTTCTGGAGTTGTAACAGGCTTGGATAGCTTCTTCAGTTCAGTTATGATAGCATCAACTGCAAGCATCACGCCTACAAATATGTGAAAGAAATGCTAGTGAATTAAACTATGGACATGGCACCTAACAGGTAGGTTTCAGACCCCAAAGCAGCTCACTTTACACAAACACACGGCTTGCAAGCTCAAGACCACAAATGACTGGCAGTTCTTATTTTACATTGTTACTTGAATAGCCCGTGCTAGTTTTCTGGAGTTGGTGTGACATATATGAAGATGTTAATTTATGGCATGTGCAGAAATGCATTAAATTAAAATCACCCATGACACAAGTCAAGTGCAGCCAATATAATAAGATTAGGAAAAAAAAATTCAGAATCACACACACGTAGCCACTTGAGAGTAAAAAGCAGCTTTTTACACAGCTGCTCTTTCACACAGCTTTCCAAATTTCAGATGGCTCTTCAACAAGGAGGTATATTAAGCAAATCAAATTTGCAGAATAAAAACAAACCCAAAACTTAGTGATAAAACACTATAAACACAGGGGAAAAAAAAATTACCCCTCCTGATTTCCACAGGATTAGCTCCTTTGCTGATCTTCTCAAAGCCTTCCTTGGCAATAGCGCGGGCAAGGACCGTTGCAGTGGTGGTACCATCTCCTGCTTCTTCATTTGTGTTGTTGGCAACATCTTGAACTAACCTGGCTCCAATATTTTTGTATTTATCTTTCAAGTCAATGGCCTTAGCTACTGTCACGCCATCTTTTGTCACCTTGGGGCTTCCCCAACTTTGCTCGATAATGACAGTTCTTCCCTGGAAGGGTCAAGAACAAATATTATTATAATGCGCACATGACCCAACAGCTTCTGTAGAAGTTCTGTGCAAGATGAAAACCTTCCTAAACAACCACAGTTGAACAGAAATATCACTGAGATCAGCTTTCTGCTGGGCCTTGTTCCAGACCTATACATTTACGATTTTTTTCTCTGTTTTTAGTATTTTGCAAAAAAGATATTTTACTGTAATTAATGTAATGCTTAATAATGTCAACTCAAGGAGTCCGCAATTAAAACTGGTCTTAAAAAAAACTCTCCTTAATAACAGTATTTCCTTCTTTAATAATTTCTTTCATTTACTGAGAAAAGAACCAAAAAAGGAATCAAAAAAAAAGCAAGGCACTTGCAAATCTTACTACTGATTAGCAAACAAATTAAAATAAGTAACAAATCTGAGTGTCAATGTGTTGCATTAAATTTAACTTTTCAAATATTACAAATTGACAAGCTTTATTTCTCCTGGCTTGAATTTGGTTTTAATTAAACCAACTATTAAAAAGAAAACACATATATACACATACACAGACCCAGTAAACATAGGACACCATGGACTGCAGAGGGGGCCACAGAGCAGGCACACCTTGGCCAGAAGGCTGCTTGTTCCCAGCTGAATTCAATAGCCTGAATACCTGTCCCAGTCAATCACCCTCCAGAGTTTTAGCTGGAGGGAAAGGAGTGTAAGGAGCAGAGCCACCCTTGCTTGGGGTGGCTGGAGCCTGGGGAGAGGGCAGGGAGAGCAAAGGCCCAGCCTCATGGCTGCGGCTCTGTGGGGAAGCTCCTCCTCATGTGCCAGGCTGGCCTGGGCTCCAGGCTCCAGCAGAGCTCCAGGCTCCAGCAGGGCTGTGCCTGGCACCCAGCTCAGGACTCAGTAGTTGCTGCTCCGGCACAGAGTTCCTCAGGCAGAGCGGCATGGGGCCTGCACGCAGCAGCCAACCCACACGTGACTCCAGGGCTTAACTTGTTTTGGATGCCTGCCCTGCAAGAGGCGGTTCTGCTTCTGGAGCACAACTAGCACTAGAGGCAGCAAAGAAAAGGCTAAGCTTCAGGGAACAGTTTTGAATTGATGAGTTTGCACATTTCTAATTCTGCAGCTGAGAAGTTCTTCATGTAGTACTTGTCTTGCTCGAGTCTATTCTCTATTTTCACCTCGCCTTACAGCTACCAAGCAAACACTTTGAGTAAGGAGAGCAGCAGAACAAAATCTTTGTATCCAGCTACGCTAAATGTTCTGATCAGGCCCTCCTAGTTGCATGTGTTTGTGGATAAAAGCACACTGGCAGTAAATACATCAGTATTTTGGGCAATCCTTCCTGCATATCAAGGACCTCAGCACTTGCATAGCCTGACTCTGATGAAGTAATAAATCTGCTAGAATGTATGTATATGTATACAGCATTGTGAAAGACTATAAACCACAATGCTTTAAGTGTAGAATATGTCAAAAGGGAAGTTCCTTGCCAGTTTAATGCTTCTTCAAAGCAGAGGAAGCTGAAGCAGGCATTAGCAGCACTGATCTTGCTTGCCCTCTGAACGTACAGAGGGTAACACCTGACTCCAAGTGAGGGCACAGGAGCGTAAAACCCCACAAGGTTGCAGGAGGTTGCATCAGGAATTGCCCTTTAACCAGTGCATTAAGACCACTCTTGAGACATTCACATCAGCTGATACAAAAGCAAGTTAGCTCAGCTGAAACTTTGTTCCTTTTAGGAGAGCTACACCTATGGAAAGCAGCCCTAGCATGCCAGAATGATGGGGCCTTTACCTCTGCCTACCTAGTTCACTGCATTTTTCCATTTCAACAGAACTAATTCAGTAAAAAAATATGCTAACCAAAACTAAGTAACCTCACAGAGAACAAGCAGCCTGAAAAGTCCTATCCTCCCTATACTGTCAGGATATATTGTGCCCACCTACTTTGAATATTCATTTTACTATTTTGTGAGGCAGAATTGTCACTATATAATTTTACTCCTATTAAGTACTTAAACAATTCAGTGCAGCTGCTCAGTATGCAAAAACCACCAGAGAACTGCAGTTTACAACTACTTTCCCCATCATTCCCTATACACCACTAACACATGACCACTATTACCCACTGTGTTAGCACTAACTTGACACAGCTATTCCTGGGGACCTAAAGAAAATCTCCTTCGTCCTTAAGAAACATTTTTTATTTCAGGACCTGCGTACATTGCCTGACCATGCAGAAAACCTGACCTTGAGGAGATCGGCCCCCACGAATGCTCTTTCTTAAAAGAAGCACAAATGAATGTCACTAACATGGATGTTTCCTTTTTTATTAACTGGTAAAATCCGCAATGAAAAATTTGGTATTACATGTTTAATACTTCTTTCATATTATTAGAAATATTATATTTGCTAATACTGATTATAAATTTAACCTAATGATAATAAAAACTGATTTCTTAAAATCATTTTCAAGTTGAACCACCTCAGACTATACAGAAAGGCACATATAATGCTATTATCAAGGGTACTGTTATAAAGCCCCAAGTGGGGCACGGCAGGTAATTGGGCACACGCTCCATTTCGCCATTTAGGCTGCGTTCCCACACAGTGCTGAAGCAAAGGCACTGCGCCTCTCAGAGCGGCGCCCATCAAGGACACGTGCGCGGCTCTGCGGACAAGAGAACATGGCTGCTTGCAGCAACGCTTCCACGCTCCTATCTTTGTCCTACAGAGAGGCAGGCGGGAAAATAGGCAGCTCTTATCTTGGCAGAAACAACGGCTTTCCGCTGCTGTATTCTGATCGAGATCAAAGCATTAATATTACACCTCCTGTTACCTTTGGCCCCATGGTAACGGCTACAGCATCTGCTAGAAGATCAACGCCTTGAAGCATGAGAGCCCTGGCATCTGCTCCGAACTTCACATCTTTGGCATAGGCTCGTGTTAGATGGGGGGCCAGGGCTCTGGACACTGGCCTTGCCCGGCGGAGTAGCGTAGGTAAGCGAAGCATGTCTGAAAAACCAAAAAGAAACTGTAGAAACGCGTGAGTATCAGAGGGCCGCACAGCGCCTTCTACAATGAGCGGGAGAACGCAACAAAAAGGCACAAATGCAATAAAATGCGAGTGCGCGGCGCGGGCGGGCGGCCGCGTGTCTGCTTCCCCAGGACACGCGCGGCAAGGTCACGGGCCGCCCGCCCCCTGCGCCTGC